CAGCCTTAGCTCAATGGTAAACAACAAACATGGCACCACACTGGTAAGGTAAGACAACACGTTTACATGTCGTTTTCTATATGTTCTCTGACGCTACGGCTGTATCTAGGCTAACGGCTAACATGCTAACTATTATTTCTATGTCACTAGTGACTTGAAACAAATTTAGGACAATAGGAGACGGGTTGAAATAAACCGAAATTTCCCTTTAGCAACGTAATATAATGTCTTAATATGCATGATGCATGTTACAGTAGATGACATATTTCGCATGACATATGTTGCATTATGTTTGTAATATACTTATTTTGAGCCATACGTCACAAAATTATTTGAAACTGCAGCTGTCAACAGTCAGCTATTCAAATATAAGGGCTGTTCTGTTGTCCACCGGTAGGTGTGCTAATCTGGGAGATGCTCCTACAGTTCTGAAAAACCTCCATTCTTTGAGAGACTCCGTTCATCTGCAGCAATTATACATAATGTATGAGGATAAACTGTGTTCTGGTGTGAGAGTAAAAGGCATTACAATGGCAGTGAAACCAAATACGCCACAGACACTGTTCAAATCTAATCTGATACTGCCAGGGAATCCTATTAACTATGCTCTCTAAATCATGCTATAATGATTTGAGTTTGAATTTTTCCGTATGTGTGTGTGTGTAAAAATAGCTGTGCCTGCCATTATGAATGCACACAGGAACTGATAACTGCTTCTTTGCTATTTTTACATACAGTTTCCAAAGAGAACACTCGCTGCAGTGGGGAGTGTGTGAACATATGTGTGTGTTTGGAAGATTTACAACCAGGGTATTAATAGCCTGTCCTGTGTCTCCCTGATAGATATGACTGAGCAATGCTGGAAGAGGAAGAAAGGACAGGAAGAACCTGTTGGAGACCACACAAACACCAGCAGACCTTCAACTCCTCATCACCACAACTGTGAAAGAGGATGAAGAGGATCGAGGGTACTTCTGTATTTGCAGTTCAACACATGGGGACCAGCAGGAACTGAATGAGAAGCTGGTTGCTGCTGTTTGACACTGCATATACACCTTCACGTCTGTATTTATTTGTCACTCCCAGAACTTCCTGTGGCGTGACGAGAAATATCAGCATCCTACGTAACTTTTACGCTTTCTCGTATGTTTACCCTCCGTCCTTCTCACGGTGCTTTGTGTCAGCCTACATTTAAAAGAGTCTTTGGAACTGTTATTTCTTGGTGCTCGAGGAGTAGTGCTCTCATTGACAACAGACACCAAGGGAGTAATGCTGACACACAAGTGAGGTAAAGGCAACATATTGACTCATAAGTGGTTTGATTTACAAAAAAAAAAAGGAAATTATATTGTAGCGTCAGTTAAGCTGAAGTAAAAAAAAGTGTCTGGCATGTGATATTTTAAATCCATGACAGAGAAAAAATGCATGAAGCAGCTTCAGCTGTCACAGAAGACTGGTTTTGAAGGACATCCAGAATGTTTGTATTTTAATTTTAAGGCAGTGTTCAGACAAAACAGCACTGTGTGAAACACACAGCCCCTTCATTCATTTAAAGTGGACCACCATGTCACTCCAGAAAAAATGCAAGGGTTTCAAAGACAAAACTTGAACCTGGTTCAACGTAATGTGACATCATCCAGCAGCAACTGTAACTGTGATATGATAAAATGATCTCTCATGGTATAATAAATCTCTGTCCAGTGTTTTGGCATATGATAAGCCTTCAAACATATAGAAACTCTTAGGGTCGATATCACAATGACGTAATTTTATTAGCTGGAGGCAAAACATGACTCTCTACTGCGGGGCTGTAGGCTACATAGGAGTCTTAAAATGTCATCTTGTTGTGTTATTGGGAGGTAGATTAGAAGAAGTCATGGCTCAAAACTTAAATTTATCACATACCAGCCACCACTGCCCGTCAACAAAAACGAAGACAACTATGGTTAAATGCGATAAGACGAAGGGACTGGACAGAGGTGATCATCAAAAATGCTCACATATGCAATGCACACTTTATATAACATAGGAAAAGTATTTACTGTTGTAGAATAACATTATGTTTATAAAGGGTTATCATGTCTACCTAATCAGACATGGGGCAGGTGTTAAGAGGAATGTTGGATTTCTCTGCAATGCTACCTTTTTAGCACTTCAGCTTCGAAAACAAAACAAACTGGAGAAACTGTTCAAGTGTCATCTTCCTTTGTAAGACTGACATAGTAATCAACCACAAAGCCAAAGGTCCAGTTTGTGCCAGAGTGCGCTCCGGCACTCAGAATTAGTATTTCTGAATGCACCACTCGCATCATCTTCCTCCACTGTATAAAACAGTTAAACAGAACTTGCTAGCTAGTACTAGCTATTGTCTGTGGAGAATTGTTTTGCCTCCAGGTAAGCACTGCCCACCAAATAACTTCATACTGTTTAATAACAGTAAAAGGGTTGTTTTTAACACTGTGCTGTTTTAGGTCTGAACACCGAGTAAGGCGATATTACTGCATCTATTTTTCTTGTTGTCAACAAATCCCACAAATGGACCAAAACCAACAGTGACTTGATGCTGCTAAAAGGTGTTAGCTGTGTAGCCAAAGGCTGATATACTATATGTCCCTCTGTACTATAGACCTTAATCATTGTCTAAAAAGACTAAAGCCATGCTAGCGGCTCTGTGAGGCTGTACCAAGGCCTAGTCCAGATGTTCACAGATATTTTTTTGAATATGTATTTCTTTGTGTTTGGCCTTTTGTCCACCTGCAAACTACTTTTTAGGGCACAGAAAACTGATCTTTCGTTAAACTCCTCCCTAGGTGAAGATCTGAAGATTTGAGATTTGACTTAAAATAAGCATTGAAGTGTAGACAGGGGAAACAGAGGTTTGGGAATATGATGTCAGAGTGTGGGCCGTTATCCATCGCAATCGAGAACCAATGAGGCGACATTTCATGCAATACATGGTGCTGGCTCTAAACTTGAAAACAGGGCTTTTAACACATTGACATTTACACATTGATGTAAAGTTACTCTATATATTGTAGAATAGAAGTGTCAGAATGCTCTACAGAGGTCAGGTAGCCCTCCAGTAATAGCTTTTTTCCAGTCTCCTGATTGGCTAACATTATCCTCTCACAGTAGGGTTATAGTAACATTGCCATCTGTTGGTTTGCCATGCTCTTGACAGCGCTTCAGTTGTGTTTATATGCATCCATGCCAGCGACAGCCGTGGCCGGAGGCATAATGTTTTTTGAAAGTCCATGAATGCGATATCTCAAGAACGCCTTGTGGGATTTTCTTAAAATTTGGCACAAATGTCCACTTGGAATCAACAATAAACGGCTTTAATCTCGTAGTCAAAGGTCAAGGTCACTGTGACCCTAACTGTCTAATTCTTGTGAATGTGGTATCTTGAGAACAGCTTGAGGGAATTTTATCAAATTTGGCACAAACGTTCACTTGGACTAAACGATGAACTGATGAGATTTTGGCGGTCAAAGGTCAAGGTCACTGTTACCTTGCGTCCGTCATATTCTCATGAACACAATATCTAAGGAAGGCCTTAAGGAAGTTTCCCCAAATTTTGCTGAAACATCCACTTGGACTTAAGAATGAACTGATTAGATACTGGGGGTCAAAGGTAAAAGTCACTGTATCCTCACAAAATATGTTTTTGGCCATAACTCAAGAATTCTGACAAAATTTAATGCAAAAGACAAATAGGATATAATGATAAATGATGATATTTTATACCCAAAAGGGTCAGCTTTACTTTGATGTCTTAATGTTCTGCAAAAACACTTTCCTCGCCGTTAATCAATGTAATAACTCAGGAACAGAGGGGGAGACATGTGGTCAGATACTGCATTGGTGACACTTATCTTAGGTTTACACCTTGAAACTCTGCTGATTGTATTGATCCTCTGTGCTGCCAGGTTGAAGCTGTGTGTCAAGCCTGTTTTCAAAAAGGGTAATGTGAGAATGGATGGCCTGGAGGGACATGTCCCATTCTAGTGTGGTGTGATTAGCTAGAGCGTATAACATTGTTTGTCCAGTCAAAATGAAAAAATGTCCAAAGAGCAGGGGCATGAAATCCCCCCAAAAAAGACAAAGTCCACAACTTCACATCCAGGGGTATGTGGACAGTGGAGGTAAACCGACAGAGGGGTCTTGGCTGTGGGCACAGATCATCTGCTGACCTCCCACTCTCTCTCTGGTTCTCTGGTGAAGGAGCAGAGCGCAGCCTGGATCAGTGGGGCACAGTAGAGGATTTGACAGGACTGGAGAGGTAGTCATAGTAGGTGAAAGGAGAGCCAGGGTTCAGGTAGTTTAATTAAGAACAATACTTATTTTTTAGAAACTCCTCCTCTATGTTTTGTTTGTAAAAATCTGGAAGGTTAGGGACTGGAGAGGCAGAGAAGCAGCTGCACATCCAGTGGAGCATGGACACTGGAGGACAGCTGACAGTGGGAACTCGGCCATGGGCATATGCCCCTGGCTTGACTCTTAGTTGCCTGGCTCTATCCCACAGCAGCCTCCAGCAAGCCCCTCATACTGACCCAGGCTGTGCTTTGCTCCTTTGCTGGAGAACCAGAGGGAGGGTGGGAAGTTGGCGGGGTCCATGCCCACAGCCATGGGCCCTCTGTTGGCTGTCCTTCAGTGTCCACATACCCCTCAACGTGGAGCTTTGGATTTATGCATATTTCTGAGATAAAATGTTGGCAGAAAAAGCTTTGTAGCTGTGGTCAGTGTCAACACGCTTTGCCTCACAGAGAAACAACTAATCACAGCAACGTTAAGTTTCTGACAGTCTTTTCCCTGTCCCTCCAGACCCAAGGCACACCAAGGTACAGCTGGGCCAATAGGCCTGTCATCAGTTTCACTGGTATTTGGTTATGAACCAGGTGCTGAACATTAACATTTTGACATGGAGTTTCATAATAAGTCAGAAGCTCCATCCTGCACTGCCGCTTGCTTGTGGCTGCAGCTGTATTGGCTGTTTTGGTGTGAGCACCGTATGAATTTTTGAAATTGTCACACCCTCTCTCCCACCTCCAGCTTGGTCCACATTGCAAGTATCCCAGCATGCTTTATGCAACAAATCAGTCTCTTTCCATATACAGTGAATGGGGGCAAATTTCAGGTCGTGCATAGAATGGGCACATGGGTGTATTGGCTAAATTGCTCCTTCACTACGATTACCATGGGCACTGTAGTTTTTTATTTTTGTTTCGACTCAATCCCACAAATACCATGGCACCATAAATATTAACTAACCACAAAATTTGTATTTATCCACTGCTGAAAATAGTCTCCAAAAAATGCAGTATTTATTTATCTATGAGTAACATTTACTTAAAACTACAGTGCCCAGATGTGTAAGTGAACACTTTGCCTATTAAAAATACATACTTCTGACTTTTTTAAAGATTTATATCTTAAGTAGGAACATATGGGCTTGGAGCTGAGTGACAGGGTAGGGAAGTCAAGGTGTTGAGAAATGAAGGGAACACAATGTTGGTTTTGGTCTTTCATGGGGCTTTTTTGACTTGACCAGAAAAACAGAAAAACACCTGCCTTATTGTCTATGCAGAACAAGATGTTCCTTCAATCCATAAAAAAACATCAGAACCTTGTTTTGAACTTTTTTAAATAACCTGTAATAAATAGACTGATCAAAATTTAATATATGGTTGAGAAAAGGAAATCTCCCATATGGATGTTGTTGCTGATGTATTTCATCTGTTTACAGATATTTAAATTACCTTTGCATGTCAATACTGCTATTTAAAGCTACTGTGCAATGCGAGCAATTTCTACAACATGCCAACAAAATATTGAAATGCAAAATGCGCTTTTGTGTGTGTTATTTCTCAGAACCTTGAGGCTCCTCTGAGGCGTCTATTGTCAACCTAGGCCAGTTTGATCATGTTATGGCTTCAATTCTGATACAAGAAAGGATACAAAGAACGTGAGCAGAGTTGCAGGTTGGAACCAAGCTGTTACATCTCTATTGATTTAACTCCCAGAGCAGCAGGAGACAAGGAGCAAACATTGCCTGGCTGATGCATATTTAACCAACCTACCCTCTGAAGAAATCTTGTTCTTAGATTTGGGAGATTTTGTGCAGGAGCTTGAAAAATGGGAGAAACTTATACAGATCTCACCATGGGATCTGAAGATGTTCAATAGGCTTTTTAGTTGTAGCCTGCTGGCTTTGTACTCATCCACACTGTATATAGACACATGAGAAATCAACACTGGCTATGCTAATATGCAGTGGAGTAAAGCCAGATTTCATACCTTGTGATTGAGGCTCCCATGTCATAAATAAACCAATTTACTGGCCGCAGATAGAACTGCCTGCCAGCCAAAAAGCATGTCATGGTTTGGTTGCTTTCTATCCTCTGTGACTGAGCAGTAGGTTACTTGGAACGCGACAAAAGGAAGCGATAATCCTAACGGTGTATAATAGCACTGGGCATTGTCAAATATGTAAAACAAAACTGTGCTTTCTGTAACACGTTAAGTCCACATTAGTATTTATGATTCATTATTATTCATGACACTGTTTAATAACAACCACATTTGGATTGTAATCATAAACCAATCATAGCCTCTGGCTGTCTTTACTGCAGAGGAATCCAGAGTTTCACTGGTAGATAGGAGAGCAGAGCTCAGAGGTCTTTGGCAGCTCAGTTGTCAGAGTATAATGTTGGTATTGTACGTATCTGCAAACCACGGATATGTTACACTTGTACATTTCATACATAATATATC